AAGATTGCATCCAGATCACTTGGGATTCGGATCGTGTCATTTATGCCCATAAGGTTGATGACTATGTTCCGGTATTTCGTGAGCAGATCAGGTTTGGTGGTGACGGTTTGCATAGAGCCTTAGCCGCTGGTGAGTCTGCCCCGGCAGCCCCAGCAGAGGTTCCTGCACCCGCTGTCCCAGCAGAGGACCCTCCTCTCCCAGCTCCCGCAGCACCCCCTCCACCTGATCCAGGGGAAGGTTCCGGTGCCGACGATGAGGGTGATGAGGATGCACCAACCGAGGCTCAGCGGCTAATCACTGAAGCCCAGAGTCTACAGCATCGCTTAACGCATATGCCAAAGAACCCCTATTGTGATGTCTGCAGTCGGAGTCGAATGCTAAAGAAGCGAACGGCGAGGACGCGCTATGCAAAGTGTGATGATGAGTTAGATCCGGTTGAAGAGTTCGGTCAACGGATAGCGGCTGATTTCATCATCGTGCACAAAGACGCTAAAAGCACTGAAACCGTCGTCCTGACTGTGAGGGATGAGGCCACAGGGTACATAAGAGCATTCCCGCTAGTGTCCAGGCACGAAGACGGGGTGGTACGATCATTGTTATCCTTTCTCGGTAGGCGTGCTTCTGGACCTTGTGTATTGTTCAAGAGCGACAATGCGCGAGAGCTCCTCGCCGCATGTGCGACGTTGGGGTTTACTTTAGAACCAAGCCTTGAGCGTAGATGGCCTCACAACTCAGTTCTCGAACGGGAGATCCGTACCATCGAGGAGTGTACAAGGGCTCTCCACATTGCGGCCGGTTTTCAGTTGCATTCGGGTCTTTGGGTTCATACTGTTCGCTATGCGGCACACACCATTAACCTTTTCCACCCTGCGGTTGGGATTGAGGGTTGTCGGTATGCGAACGCGACTGGATCCGAGTTTGGTGGCATGAAATTACAACTTGGTCAACTAGTCTATTACAGACTTGACCCGGCAAACCGTGAGAAGTTTCAGGCATCAGCAGCACCTGGTGTTTTCGCAGGTTGGCGGTTCGATAGCGGTCCATCATCATTCAGAGAAGTCTACTATGTCTTGGACTATGGTAAGCTAAAGAACCGTGAACCCGGGTACGAAAAGGCGATCTCCGTCCCTAGAGAGGAGATCCACGTTCCCCGCGGTAATCCCATCCTCCCGATGTTCACCGCTGCAGAAGCTGCTTTGTCTAGTTTCACGAAAGCCGAGTATGAAGCCATCGAATTTCTTGATGTGCCGTTCAGCACGGTAGCGCCGTCAACACCCGCTGCCAAGCGCCACGAGTACATTACTTTAGACAGACTTATGCGACTAGGTGCAACACCTGGTTGTAAGGCCTGCAAGTTCGATGGAACAGTACACACGCCAGTATGTAAGGCAAGATTTGATGATTTGATTAAAGCCGAGAAGATTGCCGCGAGCAAGTCAGTCAGAGACGCTGCACCGCCTGATGTTGAGCGCCCTGATCCTTCGGCGGAGTCTGCACCCGCAGCCCCCGAGGGTGATGAGGATGCTCCAGAGCGCGCGAGCTCCTCTGCTGGCCCACGGGCTCCAGCTGGTGTTGTAGTTCAGTCTTCCGAAAGCAAAGTTTCAACAGGTGAGTTTGGTTTGAGTGCAAGGTTTCTCGCAAACGAGAGAGTGCGCAACAACACCAGAAGGGTTAAGGAACTTCCAGGGGAAAATGTTCTGATCGAGTATGGTTGTGAAGACGAGGCTGAGATAAGAAACGCTTGTGAACGTTGTAAGGTTCATTGTGTTAGTCTGTCCCAGTCAACGCTGGACTTGACTTCGCAGGATTGCAGCAAGTTGTTTCCCAAGCAATCCCAGGTGTAGATGCTTGGTTCACCATACCATGCACACATATGTCTTCGCATCAAGCCGTACATCGTGAGTCCCAAAGTCCCAAGTACGCGCGAAAGATTGCACAAAGGCAAGCAGCATCCAAGCGAATGTTGGTTTTGGCCCTAAATGTTGCCGACCATATCATTGAGCAGGGGGGTCGGGTTTCGTTTCAGTGGAGTTCTGATTCAGGGGTGCTTGTGCAGCCTGAGTGGATCGATTTCGCTTCGAAACACGAGCTTTCCAGTGTAGCCTGTGTCAGCGGTAACAAAGCCACCACCATTGCTTCAAACTCCAAGCGAGTACTGGAGCACTTCGCAAAGGTGCCAACAAAGGATTCGCCAGGGATCAATGCAACCAACATCGAAGCATATGAGTTTGCAGATCTCGTGATACAATCCTTGTTTCCCCAGAGGTACTTCAAAAGTGTCCCCAATCTTGGTAAAGCTAGCGCGCTTATCACCAAGAATCTCTCCCGCCGAGAATGGCAAGCTGAGCCGAAGGCGCTTGAAGCCATCGCTCAAGAAGCAGAGGGGTTGCGCCGAAACGGCACATGGGATGACACAACAGCCATGCCTTTGCATGAGTTGAGAAGTCAGGCCAGGTCTCAGGGACGCAAGCTTCGCGTAGCGGAACTGATGACTTTGTGTGGGGTAAAGCACGCCGAACTTGCACCTGAATTTCAAAAGTTCAAAGGGAGAATTGTTTATAGAGGGGATAGGGTTTTGGATGAGTTCAACAATCTGGTTTTCTTCGAAGAGACCAGTACGACTCCAACGGGGTTAATAGCCTTGAACGCCTCCCTCTTCTGGGGTTGCTTACCAGAGCACTCTGTGTCATGCTCTGACGCAATCCAAGCATACCTCCAATCAGAGCTTAAAGAAGAGACATACGTAATCCTGCCAAGGGAGTTATGGCTCCCCGGCTGGGAGGAGCGTTTTGGAGCGCAAGCGAGAATAGTCGTTCGACTCCGCAAGAGCTTGTACGGCCATCCACAGGCCGGACGGCTTTGGCAAGAGTATTTGTCTAGGATTTTGATCTCATTAGGCGGAAAGGAGTCCCAGGAGTTTCCAAGCAACTGGTTCTTTGAGTACAAGGATGGGGTTCTCATCTTAAACATTTACGTCGATGATTTGAGTTTGTGCGGATTAACAAAATTGCACACGCCATTTTGGCAAGCGTTGAGGGCGAAAGTCAAACTTGATCCCGAGTGTTTCATAGGTTCTGAGGGTGTTCGGATCTTAGGTAGACTGCATTGTCGGTACGATGAACCATCGTCGACCACAATGGCTTTTAGGATGCCTGAGTATGCTGAGCAGATCGTCCAAACCTATTGCGAGATCACCGGGACAACACCCGACAAGCTTCGTCGAGTGACCACGCCCTGCATCGCTGAGTCGTCAATGACCGACGAGGATATCTCAGCGCAAGGCGAGCTCCACGATTCGGCATCACGCATCTTGATGCGCTGTTTGTGGTTAGCTCGTCTCTGTAGAGCTGACATCGCATTCGCTGTAACTCGCCTAGCTTCCAGGGTCACTAGGTGGACTGCCTGGGAGGACAGACAAGTGCTGAGACTTGTGTCATATATTCATCACACCAGAGATGTTTGCATGAATGCCAGTTGCTCTTGGGATGCCGCTCCCGAGCTGCGAGTGTATACAGATGCTGACTTCGCAGCCTGTCCCTACACCTCACGTAGCACGTCCGGGATTGTGGTCCACATAGGCACAGGTCAACATGCGTTCCCTGTGATGTGGCAAAGTCGCAAGCAAACGTCTGTTGCGAGGTCGACGCCAGAGGCCGAAATGATTTCAATGGCATCAGCCATGTTTTCAGAGGTCATAAATTTGCAGACGTTCTTACAGTCAGCCTTCAAAAGCACAGTGCCAATCATCTTCTTTCAAGACAATGAAACTGTCTTGGCTATCCTGAAGTCGGGATACAGTCCAAAGCTTCGCCACTTAGGGCGCGTGCACCGCGTGAACGTGGCAAGTATGGCAGAGATCTTTGAGCAAGAAGATTTTTCGGCTACTTACGTGAACAGCAAGGAGCAATTAGCTAATGGTTTGACTAAGATCATCCCTCCTGCTGAGTGGTCTGATATGCTCACACAGTTGTGCCTTCACGAAGGTGTCCCTCACAATGCAACCGTCTCAAAGGTTGTAGTCGAGGAAGCAGAGCGTTTTGCAAGCTCACTGCCTAGGAAGATCACACAAGAAGACCTTGTGCAGCTGTTGTCATATTTGCCAGGGGAGAGCGCCGTGCGCCCCTCTGCAAGTGAGGCAATGTGCTTCACCACCGGTGCGTTCGCGCACGGAGGTGGGATCGCAGGTTTAAGACAAAATGTAACCCTCTTCCCAGTAGTCACTGCGGTTTTGTGCAAGTTCATCCGTAGGGTGCTGCCTAAGCATAAGTTTACTGCGGTGATGTTGGCCAAGAATCAAATTACCTTGACTCATAAGGATTCTTACAACGAGCCATGCAGCAAGAACGCTGTAATCCCACTTGAAGTGTTCGAGGGGGGCCACGTGTGGGTGCAGTCACAAGACGGTGGCTACCCATGCCCAGACCTCAGTCGAGGTGAGAAGGGCGAGATCCTTAAATGGCCAGCGATCTTCGATCCAAGACGGTTACATGCGACGAACCCCTGCACGAAAGGTGACAGAATCGTCGTAATTGCCTTTACCCCTAGAAACGTGAGCAGGCTGCCAGTCGACAGCCAGCTGAAGCTCAGAGAGCTTGGCTTCCACTTCTGATGAAGTGGTAGGTCCACCAAGTAGGTAGTCCGCGTAAAGAGTTCAGTGTAGCGTCTCACGTTGTCTTCAAGGGGGGAGTTAACGGTACTCGAGCCCCACGCACTTGCTTGATGTAGCTAAGAGTACTCTACAAGAGGTAGGTGAAGAGCAGCTTGAACGACGCACACGAACGTATTTGGCTCAAGTAAAAGAAGTGCTGTGAGTGCTTGCTTTTGCTTGTTTTGTAACACGACGGGTTTACTTCGTGTTCAACTAGGATACCTAGAAATTGGGCTTTTTCCTGGCCCGGTCCCGGTGTTGCTTGAGACCACGAAGTCATGTATGCAGTGGCGAATAACAAGGAGAGGCCGGATAAGTCTTGAAGCCTGCGCAGCTCGCTTCACCGACGCAGGAGGTGCCCTTCTGGTGTGAGAAAACGGTGCCGATCGGTATCCGAGATGCTTCAGGCCCCGGGTCCCTCGTGCTGCATTCATACTGGCCCGCATCCCTCACCTACGGTGCAGATGCCCGTGCTACGCAGGTGCTTACATCATCAACCCGGAGAAATCCTACAAAGTGAAGATGGACCGAGCCCAGTTTCGGGGTTGCTGCTTCGGGTTGCAAGGAACTGGCTGCCAGAAGGCCCTCCGAAGGAAAGACGGGGAATTGCCTGGTTTTGGTTTTGGGGCGCGGCTACAAACATGTATTGATTCTCTTCAACCCCGGAACGGTGTTCCCCGCCCTGGTGTGAGATCGTAAGTAAAGAAACTCTCTTTTCTCAATGTGTTCAACTTTCGCCTTGCTAAGACAAGGCCAGTACAAGTGATGAGGGCTGTCGGGCTCGTGTCCCAGAACATCAGCAATGATGCATGTCATGTATCGGAACGTAGGAGGGCTGAGATCGCTCCCCCTGCCCTGCAGAAAGACATCGCTCCTAGCAACCCGAAGAGACATCATGGGGATCTGTGTCAAGCGAAGGCTGAAAGCGCGGAATGCAGTAGGGAGTGCAGAGAGCATGGGAAGAGAGACATTAGCGTGGCATGGCGTGGCGAGCTGGTCCTGCAGTTTTGGAGTTCCCACCCATGGCCCTGTTCGATGTAGGGCAATGTAGGGATTTGGTGCAAGGTGCCAGTTTGCACGGGCATGCACGCCGTGCATGCCGTGTTCAGGACGATGAAGTGATCGTCCTGGCCGAGGACGCCGTAGCACGTCAGCCTTAGCCCACATGCTTAACCGTTCCTGCTCGGGTTCTGAGTGAGCCTAGCCGGGGCTGAACGCGAGTCGTAAATGTTGATGCTTATCGCAGGATGACGATGCCATCCAGCGCATGCCGGAGCCAATGATGGACTTCCAGGCACTTGCGACCAGATTGGGCAAAAGACTGTGCAATGGCGGTAGCAGTATCGATGAGGAGAGTAGGCTCACTTGAGTGACGCCACCATGAATACTAGCTCAGCCATATAGGAGGCGAAAATGGTAGGGCAAAAAGGATATCGGCCACGCAGCAGCCTAAAGGCATTAAACTCGGAGCACCAATACTGGTGTCACGAAGGGGTGGACGAAGATGCAAGACTACGCAAAAGAAGGAGACACATTCTCCCTCGCAAGGAGTCTCTTTCGTGTCGTTAAAAGTCGGGCATGGAAGTATGCACAGCCGCATCGCTGGGTGTTTCACCTGTGGGCGTGGATGGCGGCGGCTGCATCCTGCGGTCGGAAGGACGTTGGTATAAGGGATCGGGCTGAGGGATGCGGATGATCGATTTGGTTGCGGGATCGTTTTTCTCACAATGTCTTGCTGATATGCAAGATGGTCTCGTCCTGGACTGGCTTAGGGTTGGAAGTCTCCAAGCGGATCCATCGAATCCATTCAGGTGTTATCGAATCACCCCAACAGACCACACTAAACCCGAAACCCAAAATCCAAAAAAGCTGGGATTCCGGAGCCCCAAAGGGTTCTCCTAGAAGATTTCTGAGCTTTACGGCTTGCTCGAGGTGTTGCGGTTTGAGGGATCGACAGAGAGATTCGGCGTTGCGGGAGGGCTTCATTGTGCCTCACTGACATGGCCTTGTTCCTGGACCGGTTTAGGGCTCATGGCGGTATGATCGAGACCATGTTAAACTGTTGAAGGATGCAAGACTTGCACGGATCTTTCGCAGAGCGAGCAGAATTGAAAACAGCGCAATCGACTATGCCGCCTGTGCCAAGCTCGATGCCTGCCGATGCACCGAGACCAAGATCAACGCAGGCGCATGCATCGCATGCAGATCCAGGCTGGGAGTACGGGGAGTACTACTTCGACCTCAAGTTGGAGGAAAAAGGCGAGCTGGAGGCAGTCAATGTTTTTGCCAGGTGCCCTGCTGATTTCGCAGTTCAATCTTTTGGGTAGGAAGCAAATGGAATGCATTCATTTGCTGGCCGTCTCCAGTGATTCAGGTGCTTGACTGGCGTGGATGACATGTCCAAGGAAGTTTTCTATGAGGTCACGCGGACAAGTGCGGGCTTCCAGGCTTCTCTGCGAATGCCTGCCTGGAGCCTCAGCAAGTCCTACGAGGGAGAGGCCCAGTCGACGGCTTCTGTTTTGTGTGAAAACTGCAGAAACAATGCAGCAAAACAGTTATGGTCCAGTTAGGGCCGTAGCCCGGTGGTGCACGGTTGCAGTCCGCCCTCCCCGCAGGTGATGCCGAATGAGAAGCGAGCAAAGCAGTCGGCGGCCTCTGTCTTCCAGACAGATCCGGATGTGCTGGAAAGGTCTCGAAACTTCCCCAAAGGGGTAAAGCGTCTGACAAATATGGCATTTCTTAATTCCATGACAAAGCGCAGGGCATGTAGCCAACATGCGCATGCAAGATAATGTTCGATGTGGGAGTTTCTTAAAGATTAGGGGTACCTTTTTCGGGGTCCTTATTACATGGATCCCACTGTTTAGGGCAAGGTCCCCTCATTTTCGGAAACTCCCATATAGAAATTAAACCAGGGGGAGCAGGTTCGCGGGGTGAACTCTGCGTTGCTTGGAAGGCGCGCGCTTGAAAAAGGCTTCATTGGATGTGCCCTGCCTCGTGCTTGTCGCAGGCTCGTGTGTCTCGTTGTGAGATTTCTCGGGCTTTTGACGCCTGACAACAAGGGAGCAAAAAATACCACCATAGAGAACAATGCAATCCCTATAGGCCCTGGACGCCTCAAGTCGGCAACATTCAGTTGAGACTCTCAGCCTCCCCACAATCCTTCCACAGGCGTGGCGAAACAAGTACGGTGCTTCCACCTTTGTGGAGGCGGACCCAAACGACAATGCGCCGCGGCAGCATCGCAGACTCCGTCTCTCCCTTGCTTGGCAGCAATTGCTGTGGTCTGTACTCGTATGTGACCAACACTGGTACGACAAGAAGATCTGAATACTTTTGATGTTGTTACTGAGAATATCTTAGCACCATCTTCGCCCATTGTCTGTCGCCCGTCGCCCATGAGGGGGCATGACTCATTGTTGATGATCACCCTTGCTGTGACCTTGACGAGCATCGCCGCCAGCATCAGGCATAGTTCGGATAGAGGTGGTGATGACGACCATGAAGGTGACGATGCTGGTGGTGGCGGTGATGGTGAGGTGATGCTGGTGATAGACGTGATAGACACGGATGTTAATGATCAGAGTGATTATGCCGTCAGCATCGTCGTCATCAGAATCGTCATCCTGCTTCCACAGAAACCATCATGACAGCCAGTGCAGATGCACTCGCTTCAGTTTCGGTACACCCCTCGGCCCAAGCCGTCGAGCACTGCTTCCGATTCCAGGAGAAAGTGCAGGTTTTGATCTGCAACTTCACCGAACGAGGACCGCCTCCGAGGGCTCCTGTCGTGAGGTGTTGAGGCTGCCGTAGGTCGGTTTGGAAAGGGGGGTGATCTGTGTCATTTTGTGCGATATCTGCGTCGTTCTTTTTTCGTGTTGCTTTCCAAATTTTTTTTTGAAGGGTTCTTGCTGTCTGTGTTCCGGAAAAATCTGTGTCTGTAATTTGTTGCCTTATCTGTTATGTGTGATTTTGTTCGTCATCTGTGACGTTTTCTGCATGTTGGGTGTTTGTTGAATCCCAACATGTGTTGACTTTGGCATAGTGTTTAATGCTTCCCTTTACCCGCCATAAGCGCGAATGCCGGAGCGTTGGGGCTTGATAGCCTTAAATTAAGAAAATGGAAGCCCTAAACCCCCAGTTACCCCCCTGGTCGTCGTAATCGTCGCAGCAGCAGCAGCAGGAGGAGGAGGAGGAGCAGCACTAGTCGGAGCAGTAGTAGTCGTCGTCGTCGCCGTAGTGCAGCTCAGTCAAAGTACTTGTGAACCGAGAGACCTCGTCTGGCGGAGTTTGAACTGCGAGAGCGTAAAAGGATGAGAATGGATGATACGACCACAAGAAACACCCAGCCGCCAGCCGTAAAACACTGGACCCGACCAGGAGAAGGGCAGCCGCAAAGTAAGGCTAGGGCAACCTCGTAAGAGGCTTGAAAGAACCCCAATCCTGGAAAAGATGCAGATAACTCAGATAGCAAAAAGGACGCAGATAGCACCCCCCAAAAGAAAGACACTGACACGGATTGCTTTTGTTCAGTCGGTTTCGGATGGGTCCTGTGTGTGGGCTTAGCGTCGTGGTAGATTCAGGGTGGAAGAGCGAACGCAAGACTGGTTTGGCATTCACCATTCGCGAGATCATGAGGATACGGCTGTGCCATCCTCTTCGCTTTGGACGAGTGCCCCGGCGCAGAAGCGGACGGCAGTTCCGCTATCTGTGTGGTTTCGGCTTCCTGAATATTTTTTGCTGTGGCCCAGCAAGACCATCGCACCGGCGAGATGGAGTGACGGACGGCCAGGGGGTTGAGATTTGAGATGTGCACCGCGATTCAAGGATGGTCGCCCCGGGATCTGCAGCTTGCCTGCAACCCAATTCCAACAGCTACTGCCAAGCAGCAGCACCAGTGAGTGGAGCATGTGATGATAGGGGAGTTGCCGAAGATTCGGGACAATCAGGACCGCGCATCCCTTCTGATGTGCAGCACCTGTATCAATTCCTTCCTTGGGCAACCCTTGCAACACCCTTGAAGGAATTCACGTGTAAACTGTAAACCAAGGTTTGTGACATCTTCTGCTCGCTGACCGACGCTTGGCTGGAGCAGGGCGGCCGGAGGCCTCGGGAGGCCTCGGGAGGCCTCGGGCCTGTAGTAAGTTGGGCTTTCTTGGTGTTTGGAGGGTGTCGCAGTGTATGAGGTCTGTAGGGTTTTTTGCCAGCTTTTTGTTTGAGCGTCCTTGCCATCGCGCTACGCAGGAGTTTTGTTTTTTTTTGGGGGCTTCGGGTTTGGGATGCCAGAGGGATGTCATTGATTTCTACTTCCGGGTTTCAGGTGCAGTGTAGCAGCGGCTCTCGTGCGTGTTTCTGTCCTTTGATGATTGGCGTCACTTAGTGACATGCTGGTGCTTGCGCGCAAAGATGAACAGCTTCGGAGCCTCGGAATCGTGCAAGCGGTTACGGCTGCTCTGACGTTGTTCTCCAGAAAATGGGAAATCAACATCGGTCAGGGATGGCTCGGAGCTGGCGAGGTCGCCTCTTGAAGGTCTTCCCAAGTCAACGGTGGCAACTTGAAGCACCCTGCAGCCTGCTTAGCAGACCTTTCTCCAAAACGAGGAAGAAGATGCCAGAGCCATCGTGAGCAATGCTGAAGAGGAGCAGGATCGCAGGCTCAAGAACATCGAGGCGGGCTGTCGCGGGCTGTCGGAACCCTGGGCCCAGGAGCCCAAAATCTCACCTTATGCCACCCTTAAATCCGAGCATATCCGAGCTGTTTGGAGAGGTGAGGCGAATCTACACCACGGCCCAGCACCAGATGACCGCGCAGCACAAGCTCAACACGATGCCTCTTCAGCCCTTTGAAACGAAGGTTTGGACACGGAGACTGTTGATGACCCTGACCACCCTGACCTCCTCCTTTGTATAGATAGCATAAGTGGAGCTTGTGTTGAGGGTTTTACTTGATGCAGCGGATGGGCTTCAGAAGTGAGTTCGAAGCCATGATGGGCAGAAGCCAGTGGCACTTTATGCTAAGTTCATGCTGTGCACAGAAGCGCATGAGACTGTGTTGCGTGAAGTGGAGAAAATTCGAATTGTGTGCTTTCCCATGGTCCTTTGACCCTGCTCTATACCGTGGTAACTACGTTGTTCAGAACCAGAAGACGAAGCCCAACACGTGGGCATCTATTTCCACAGAGACATACTGGCAGTGGTAGTCGTAGTGGCAGTAGCAGTGGCAGTGGCAGTAGTCGTCCTTGTCGTCGTTGCCGTACCAGTAGTAGTAGTAGTGGTGCGTTTGTCCACTTGTTCGGGATCTTCATCAGACGTTCTTGTGGCTTCTGTGTTAGGTTCGATTGGTGTGCAGTGTTGGTGTGTGTGTGTGAGAGTTTATGTGTGTTTGGACTTGTGGAAACCATTACCCCGTGAGAATATTAAGAAGCTTGAGCTGAAATTCGAGGGACTACGACTTCCACTTCATCCTGGCTGACAGCGCCCTTGGCTTTCAGAAGGCCGTCGACACGGACACATGTTTGAACATTCGTCCCCCCCTAGGCATGCACGCATATTTCCACAAGTACCCCCCTCTTTGTGTTTGTTTCTGTCCTTGGACCTGCAGGTAGTTTAGGGCCAAAGGATTCGAGTGTCTCGCAGGCCGACGAGCAGACCGTGGCCATCATCCTGCAGATGAAGATGCTCCTGAAGGCATGGTGGCCAGGGTTATGGTTCGTACCGATCCACGGACATGGCAGCCTGTCTGGGGAAGCTGCTGAAGTAAACGCCTCTCTATTCCAGCAATGGAAACCCCCGAAAAGTGGACGAATGCTTGTTCTCACTGTTTTTTTGATTTGAAGCGCCTTGAGTACTCGCCTTCTCAAACCTGTTTTGTCGTATCGAGCTTGGTGCTCGAGTCGAGCTGTGCTTCGTTTTGATTTTCCCTTTCAGCTCAACTGCTCCTTTGGGTTGCCTTCTGCATATCAGGCACCGAGGCGTTAAATGCTTGTTCCGCATGGTTTCCCGACGTATTGCCACCGCTATGATATTAATGCTTGTTTTCCATCCCTCGGGTCGCGATTTGCCAGCGTTTTTGTCGGTCATTGTACTCTCTTGATGCTTTGCTTTGTGCGAGTGTCCTACAGCATCCAGTTTGGTGCGATGTGTCCGTCCACAAGTCCTTCGGCATCTGTTTTTGAGGTTCCAGCTCACCTGGACAAAAGGAGCAAAGCTGATTAGGATGAACAACTTGCAGAGCGCACCGCAACCACGGCAGGCGTCGAACACATGAGACACTGTGAAAAGTACCATTGCCGCACGCTTCACAACTGTAAGGCGCCATGAACCAGACTGCTAGACAGGCTTATGTAGATCCCCGGTCATCCCGAAAGGAGTTGCTGTGGTTACAACTCAGGAAACAGAGTACAAACCCAGAGTTCCCATCCAGCCAAGGCCCTCCCAAGGAATATGGTTGTTTCAGTAAACTGAACCGCTGTTTCAGTGAACCGGTCAGGGGCGTAGGGTAGGGTAGGGTAGGGAAGGCTAGGAGGTTGTGGGTGGTTGGGATTGGGTAGGTTTTGTAGGGATCGTAGGGCGAGCTAGGGTAGGGTAGGGTAAGTGGCTGCGGGTGGGTGGGTTTGTGTAGGTTTTGTAAAGTCGGGTAGGGTAGGGTAGGGTGGAGTGGGGAAGGACAGGGTAGTTGAGGGTGTAGAGTAGTGTAGGGTGCGGTAGGTGGTTGCGGGTGGATGGGGTTGTGTCGGTTATGGGGGAGGGGATTGTGGGTGGATGGGATTGCGGGTCGGACGGTGGCTTTTGTAGGTACAGGGTTGGGTAGATTTTGCAGGCCAGGGTACGGTAGGGTAGGGTAGGTAGGGTAGTTGATTGTGGGTGAATGGGATTGGGTAGATTTTGTAGGGTAAGCTAGGGTAGGTTAGGTGGTTACTGCTGGATGGGCTTGTGTATAAGGTCGGGTAGGGAATGGCAGGCCACGTGGATGGGGTTGCAGAGATTTGTAGGGTAGGGTAGGGTACGGTAGATGGGTGGATGCGGGGTGGATGGGTTGGGTAGGTTTTGGTGGGGTGGGGTAGGGTAGGGTAGGGAAGGGTTGGATAATGTTGGATAGGTTTTGGATGGGGTTGTGCAGGAGGTTGGGGTAGGGCAGGGTTGATGGGCTTGGGTAGGTTCTGTAGGGCGGCACTGGATGGGGTTGGGGAGAGATGCGCGGAAGGGAAGGGTAAGACGGGGATGTGCATCCACATCCGGGGCCGGGGGCTTCACTGCCTCCGGGTGTTTGTACCCAAGACGACTCCACGCCGCAGGCGGAAGTACGCAGGGCATGGGTATGGATGTTCTCTTCCTCAATGCTGGGGGTGTTAGTAATGCCCATGAACTCTTGGATCTTCTTTCAGGTCAGGTGGCGAGGCAAGGCACACTCCTTGTCGGCTCGGTGCTCTCGCGTGGGGGGATCTCGTACATAGTGGGTTGTAGAGGGGCTCGCCATGGCAGCACGGATTACTGGAAAGGAGGCGCCTCCTTGTCGCGGCTTCCCAGAAGGGTCGTGGACCAGTCAGTGACCAGGGTGATCTCATGCTCCTGGACTTCGAGGAATTTCGGTTAGCTTTTGGCTGGCGAAGACCGGAGGCTGAAAGGGACCAGTTCGATGCCGAGCTTTCCTCCTGGGCGAGCTTGTGCCGCGGTGAATCCATCAGTTTCTGCGCTGTGGGTGACTGGAATGATGAGCCGGGCGGGTCTTTCTTGCCTCACGCCGGGCTTCAGCTGGTGGCGCCTGTCGATCAGTCGGGCTACATTGCCAGCAGGTGGACGACGATGCATTGACTGGGCTGCAATCAACGAATCGTCTCATCATCTGCACTCTTGCTTTTGGCCTGACAGCATATCTGCAAACAAAATCCTGCATTTATGGGGCAAGTTCCGCTTCATGAGGGATCAGGGGGTAGTGCTCATTCCCACTGCTGGATTGACGTGTCCACCGGTGGTGTCGGCTGCACAATGGCGACAAGCCGTCTCGGAGTTCTTCGGGAATTGGCAGGTCCAATGGGATTCGGATGTTGACCAGCAGTGGCTTCAGCTTTGTCAGCTTCTCGAGGAGAGCGTGCGCTTTGCTAGCTGGCGTTTCGCGGTCTCCTTGCAAATGAGGACGACTCAATGTCATCTCTGTCCCAAGGGCTCTCTTCCAGTTTTTGAGGATGGTGGCTGGCGTCGTCGCCTTTACGTCCATGCTAGATTGGTCGCTTGAATAGGTTCGTGGGGCGACTCCATGAATTGGTCTGCTGTCAGCATGCCGAGCCACGAACTCCAGAGCTGGAGCGAATGTTATTCTTTGGTGGCCAAGATCAACCGCACTTGGCCGAGAGAGTTGCCCAGAACTCTTGTTGAGCAGGCCATTACGGCCCGCATCGTTGCCTTGAGAAGCAGTCGTCGTCATTTCGCTTTGCAGGGCTGGAGGGCTCGCATGCAAGTTGGTGGCCGTGAAGCCACTCGTTGGCTCAGTCAAAAATCGTGCCTTCTTCCCCTTGCCCTTTCTCGCATCAACGACGGAGCAGGTCAGTTCTTGCACTTCGGAGTCCCTGGAGTTCTTACAGTGTTATTGGAGTGAAGTGTGGCATCGTCCCACTGGGCATCTTGCGTGTGAAGAGCTTTGGGAGATATGTCCTCCGCATGAAGCTCTTTGGGAAGGCGACACAGGACCTTTGCGTGCCTCCGAGCTTCTGCAGCGAGCACGTTCACATGCAGTGGGAGGAGCTGGACCGGATGGAATCTGCGTTGAGGAAGCTTCGCACATGCTTCTTGCTTTGCTGGGAGATCTTTATCAACCCAGTGCCCTGCCAAAAGCTTCCACAAATCGCGTGCTGCTTGGTTTACAATGCCCACAGCATGCTTAATCTGCGTGATGAGCTTGGAAAACGATTGATCACTCCAA